TCTTTCTCCATCTGTGGCCGTGCTGTGTGACCTCGGGTGCCTTGGGGGCTGTGGCTTCCCCCAGCCCTTCCAGAGCGTGTTCCCCGGTGGCACCATCGGCCGGCAGGCACCTGGCAGCCACGGCGGCATCCGCACTGAGTCAGCAACTGCTGCCAGTGTGCAAGGATTTGTGTTTGCAGTAAATAAGTGAGATCCCAACAACCTCTTGCTCCTGCATATTAGTCATTAAAGGAAGAATTGCCTTTTACGTGCACATGTGCCATTGTTATTCTTTTGCTACAGTATTGCTGTTTACAGCCCTATTTTGATCCTTAAAGATGTGGCAGGATGAGGACCCTTAACGCGTGGATGCCATGAAGCAGGTCAGAAGCTGCCCAGGAAGCAGAGGGCTGCAGGTGCAGGTTTCTGTGTTTGTGATAGGAATACACCTCACCCACACACAGTAGGCCTGTATGAAGAGCATGTTCTTTATTTTTTATTATTTGTAGCCTTTCTATTGGGTACAGAGTGCATATGCTAACCATTCTTATATTATTTATATACTAATGTATACTTACAATTGAACCCATTCATATACTAATCATTTATGCCCAAGGATTCAAGGAGCTTTGCCAAAGGGACAAACATTTTATTTAAGTGTATATTTCCTTTAGTAATATTTCCTTGAAAATACCACATTCAAGAGCTTGCTAAGAGTAAATACTTTTGACATTTGAGTGCTCTTTGCTTTGTGCTTTGTGACAGATACATATCTTTATACTTACTTATGGTATGCAACATTTATTGGGAATATTAATTACTGGGAGGGAATAAACCTCAGACAGTTTTTATCTCCTCCATTTGCTTCTAGCAGGGTCCTTGCTATTTCTTTATGTGTTCATTTACCAGTATTTTGACTTTTATGAGTACACTCATGGAATAGGCTTTGTTAATGTACTGTTGTTTCACGGGACACTTTTCCTGTAAAATGGCCTTTCCAGTGACTCAGTGAAGCATTCATCCTAGCATCTTGGACACAGAGTCTCTTAAGGATATCCCCTTTAAAAAGCAGCAGCTGCAATAGGAAATGGTTTTATGTGTTTCCAGCTTTGTGTTGACTTACTGTATTCACAGCTCCAGTCTGCTTTAGTCACACTTAGGGTAATGGGCCAAAGAGGCTTTTTTCCTTCTTGGAAAAGGAGGTTGAAAATATTCCCTGTGTTGCTATCTTAGGAAGATAGCAAAATGTTCGTCTCTGGCACTTTTCTGCAGCAGCGAGGCTGAAGATTGAGATGTTCTGGTGAGGGGTAAGTCAACATAGTGAAGCTTAGGGAAAATATAAGGCTGTGCCACGATAGTCATGCTGGTTGAGTCACTGAACACAGCAAGACTTGACTTAGAACTCATCACATCTGAAAAATCAGATGCAGAATTCATGGAGTCATTCTCCTTGATTTTCCATACTCCTTGGCAGCTGAACTGTACCACCACCAAAAAACAAAATTAACTAAAAATTAATCTCATAGCAGAGGCCTACCTAGTGAAAAGCTACTCAAACTTACAGAAAGGACTGCTTTAGGCTTGCGTAATTCCTTCTGCAACTTGTTTTCCCTGTCTCCATTGGGAGGAACATCTGCCGTTTCCGCTCGGTGGCTCGTTCACTTTCCAACACTAGGGTAAGGAGAAGATGATTTCAGCGCGCAGACCAGTGAGTGCCCATGGAACTGCAGCCAGAGGAAGGATATGCTGGTTGAATATGCACCCAGGAAAGTAGAAAGTAGAAAAACTATGGAATAAATCCTGGAAATCTGCCGTTGGCCCACTAGTTACCTGTAGGCTGCCATGTAGCTGTCTCCTGCTGCCATTTTTTGAAAACAAAAGTAATGATATTAATTAAAAATGATATTAAAGGATAATGATCCTTTACATTGTGATTTGAGATCTTTATGCTTTTTGTAAGCAAGAGGAAACTAGGATAAAATAATTCCTGTTCTGGTTTTCCTTACACAAAAAATCTCACTGAGGGTCTCAGGTAGATACTGGGAAACATTTTTAACTGGAGGAGAAAAAAATCAAAAGATGTCTTAAATAGTGAAATAAACACAATAGAGTTTAAACTAAAAATAAATATCCCTCAAGTTTGTTTTCTTAGTGCTTGTGATACTGCATCCCACTGGATCTCTTGCAGGTCCGTAACACTTCCAAAAGAAGATATCCCAATCTCTTATTTGCAAAACAAAACCGACAATCTCTCCTCCGCTCCAGCCATAGGAGGAGGAACTCAACCTTTCTGCCTCCTTGTCTCATTGTGACTTTCTTTGCCTGTCACACAAAGCACATGTAAGCCTTTGTTTCTAAGCTGACCTTGAAAACTTGAGGAGAGGGAAGGACAGAGATGAACATTTAGAAATCTCTTGTTGAGAAGCTCGAAGCAGCCTCCTACATGAAGTGGCATATTCATGCAGGAATTCTGTTTCATATACACATTTTGTCATAAGTCAGATCAGAGCATCCCCTTTGTCTGTCCCCAAATGAACAGTTTGTGTAAAATCCCACGAGAGCTTTTGTTGAAGAGGAACCACCAGTGAAGCAGTGATAGATTTCAATTTTACCTTTTTATAACAATCTGGAAACATCCTTTTGCATTCCCTTTCATACTTAGATACTGATTCCCCTTAAGACACTCAGCTACCTTTTTGGTTGTCAATGGAAGGAAATAAGCAGTGGAACAGGCTGCCCAGAGAGGTTGTGGAGTCTCCTTCTTTGGAGATCTTTAAAACCCGCTTGGATGCAGCCCTGTGCCACGTGCTCTAGGTGACCCTGCGTGAGCAGGGGGGTTGGACTCAATGACCTCTGAGGTCCCTTCCAACCTTGGGCATTCTGTGATTCTATAATCTGGGAAAGCACCACTTGCAGTGTCCAGCATACTTTGCTAGCTGTGGAAACTGCCCAGGAGAAGGTGTTGTGCTCACATGCTACCTCAAAGGTTCTTATTTAAGGAGCTTGAGCTGTAAAGGCTTGATAAAAACGTGGTATCTACATGTCACTGGGCCACTGTGGCTGCACATGCATGTTCAAGCAGGTTTGGAAATGTGGCTCTGAGGAGGAGGGTGAGAAAAATCTCTGGAGTTTGACAAAGAAGGACAAGTCTGGTGAAGAGGTGAATAGTGAAACAAAAAACTTCTTGCTTTTTGGAGACCAATTTAGGTGTTCGTAATCCAGCCCTAGAGAATGGTTATAAAAGACTGCTTTAACGTGTAAACCTAGCAAACCTATGCTCTGCACATGTGCTTGAATGTAGGTATATGTGCATATTTATATGCATGCATATGTGCATATATAAACCTAGCAATGTATAAAAAATCAGTGCAGTCTGAACGCAGGGACTGGATATTCTGAAATAAAAGATATGAGTCTCTAGAGTTCCTGTCTGTGGGTTATGCTTAGTGATGTTGAGATGTGTGGTTAGATCTGTGTGAAGTGCTCTAAATCCCGAAGACAACTTTTAAGTCTTGAGAGTGAGAACAGTTGCCGAGACGCAGGTTCTCGCTGCCTCTCTGCACCCTGTCCTGTGGGTGCTTTGGACTCAAATGGCACAGACCTGCGTCTGCTGCAATGTGAGCATCACATCATGGTTACTCGGGATGGCTTTGGAGAGCTCTCCGCTCGCCTACCTCCAGTATATGAGCTATGGTTGCACCGTTGGCTCACAGAATCACATGTGTGATTATACAGAGGGTGCCTCGGAGGCGAGCGGGTCTGCCCCGCTGGGCGAAGGGAAGCGGGAACATCTTGTTCATGCAACGTGTTGGGTGCCGTCGCCAACTCCCCGCGTTGAGGGGGCTGCTCGGGAGGCCCTCTCCTCTCCTCGGCTCCTCTGCTGGGGACCCGCCGGGGACAGGGAACAAGTGGGGCTGCTCTGTTTGGGCTTTGGTTTGTTTCAGAAGCGATCTGAAATCCTCTGCTTTGCAAATACGGAATTCTGGATGAGAAAACAGAGCCTGGCTTCTGATTGAGCCTTGGTTCCTGGGGTGAAATAGTATCGCAGCAGGGGCAGGGGAAGAGAAACCCACCTGTTTGTGCGAGATGCCATTAAAGTGCGGGGAGGTGGGGAGAACAGGAGCCCCTTGTAGCCGGGCGATTACCTATAACAAAAGGAGGGACAGTGTCCTTGCCCAAAGGCAGCATTGTACAGGCTGCTGTCCCCCTGAAACTCAACTCCCGTGTTTCTTCCCTGACAATGGGACCTGAAATAACCTCTCGGTTTGGGTTTTTTGTGTGTTTTCAAGTATGTTCTTGCTTAAGGTTTAATTGGCTCCAGTCAGTAGGAAAGGGCTCCAAGGCTGATTATTTATGGCTTACTGTCAAAAGTGGCTATAAAAAGGGCAGTATTATCTTGGAGATGCTGGGAAGGAAAATGTGGTGGGGGGAGGGCGGGGGAGTGTGTGTGCGCACGAATGTGTTTTCTTGTACTAGATGAAATCAGACTTTTGCTGTCTCAGCAGTGTGGTTTAAATTGAAGATTAACCCTTTGACCTTCACGGTGTCAAATCACTTACAGATGGATCACCAGTTATATTTCTTTTCTTTTTTTTTTTTTTTTTTTTTTTTGGGGTGAGGGGGGGTTTTTTTTTTTTTTTTTTTTTTTTTTTTTTTTAAAAAAAAGGTTGTTTGTTCATGCAGCTGGGGCTTTTGAAAGGCTCAGAAGCCAATCTGATTAAAAACAGCACTTGGCTAAACTTTGCAAAATCCTACAAGCAAAAAAAAAAAGTTTAATCCTCTTGTGCACAATGCATAAAGGGTCTGCTCTTTTCTTTTTGTAATGTTAGAGCTACAATTATTTCTGGAGAACTTATCATTTCCCTCTCTCCCCTCATCCCTCCGTGCACCCCCTTGTTATGCTGATGGGATTAAAGTGTCTACTCTTGAAAAGTGTAACTGAGTTGTTTTTGGAAAAGAGAAGCGGTATGTTGCAATTTTAGAAATATAAATAACTCCGTTTCAACTGTTCTCCCCTACAGCATCAGCAGAACAGGAATCAAGTGTGGTGGCAGCTCCTTCTCTTCCTACACAACTTGGCCTTAAACGTGGAGGCGAACAGGAACCGCACCGGGCAGAGGTGAGCGGCGCCGGGCCGCATCCGTCTGCAGGGAGCACGGAACAAACACTGGTTTGGGGGAGAGCCGAGCACGCCGCCGGCCGGATGGGAGGACTCTGGGACACTCTTATCCTCGCCTTCAAGTTCGGGGTTTTTACGGACTCTTCTTCGCTGCTTGCTGCCTCGCGAGGCAGGGAGCTCTGGTCCAACACTGTTGAAGGAAAGGTCGAATGTGGGTGTGTTTGGTAACGCTTGCTGCTGGTTCCCCGTGACTGTTGGGCAAGGGAGGCAGGTGTGAGGCCAGCGGCTTCCTCTGCTCTCTGCTGGTCAATAGCAAAGGGCAGGAGTTTGTCATTTTGGCTGCTAGTTGGAAAGGGATGTCTGGGACTGATGACTCTAAACGTACTTTGAGTATCTTCCAGAGTAGCGATGCTTGATTCCTCCGTGAACAAAGTTCTTCTAGCAACAATAGCATTCAAGTAGCTTAGATCCAGCGGGTTGCTTGTTTTCTGCATGGGTTACTGCTTCTTTTCTTGGATCTTTTGTGAGAGGAAATCACAAAGAAATTTGATCTCTTAAATCTTTCCATTGAATACCAGTTGCAGATCTCTCGCAAGAAGCTGCTCTTTCTCATTGCCCCAAGCAGACAAAATTGTTTCTGTAAAGACATTCTTCCAAACCCTGCTTGGAGTTACTGGTGGCTATGCAGTGTCTGCAGCCGTGTCCTTACAGTTCAGCAACTGCTGCGTCTCTAGGCCAGCGTGGAGCTGAAAACCATGGAACAAGACCCAAGCATCGTGCTCCTACAGTGCTAATGTATATGTTTTTATTAATTTTATGATGGGTGTTTCTTTTTGTTTCTTTTCTATTATTATAAAGTGGTTGCTCAAGAAGGCTTAGGTCCCAGGCATCTGATAATTTGCTTCAGGATTTGATAGGGAAATCAATTAGCAACTCGTTTAACACAAACACTGTCTCAGCAGTCTGTCCATTGCTCTACCAAATGATGCTGGGAGGCTGCTGTAAGCATCTATTGACTAGCAGCAGTAATACTGTTCAAATTCTAGAAATCCTGCTTTTTATCTGCTCATAAGGTTGTCTGTATGACTGACACTATTAGATCAGCACAGGGGAATTACCTATCAAATGAAATACTTCTGCGTAGCTTTAAATATTGTTAATTGATAAACCCAGTAACAAATTGGATAAAATACTACCAGTAAAGCAACACATCTTTTATATTCTTCAAAGAGTTTCCCTGTTTCCCTGCAACTTGTTTTAAATCTCCGATTATAAAACTGATCTGTTGAAAGAACTACTGTTTGCTGTTGGTACAAATATCAGCTTCAGGTGTTGAGGAATTCTTCTGCTCTTAGTCCACAGGAAGAGTAGTTTACTTGCACATGTACTTTCTCCCCTACCCCTCTTTGCATGTCTTTCTCTAATTCTTTCCTTGATTTTTGTGTAATCGCATCATTGCACTGTAGTGTCTGGTAACAATTTGCTGAGCACAGTTGTATTTGGAGTTTTTCCCTTTTTCCCAGCCCCATTCTCTCATCTTGCATCCTACTTCACTGTGGCAAAATGTACTTTAGCTCCCTGAAACAGGTCTTTTCATTTCATTCATGAAACAGGTTTTCATTTGCCTCTGCTCCCAACCACTGTCTTTCAGCATCATGAGGGCTACTGCGAGAAAATCTTTTGTTTTCCTCCCTCTTATGTTATTTTTCTAACTAGAGCTAGGGTGATACATTTGTCCAGGTGACTGAGAATTCATAGAAGTGAATCTCAAGTTATTTTAGGGCTTGGGTTTTAGCAGAGGGGTAGAGGGGTTTTTTAGAGAGAGAGGGGCGTGTTGTTTTTGGCTTTGTATCTTTTCCTTAAGCACGTGCACTACAGTTACCCAGAGGGACCCAGGTGGTCCCTGTTGCTGGTTTGGCAGCAGCAGGGTGGGGAGCCGCTCTGCCCATAGGGATGGAGAGCAGCCTTCCCAGGCCTTGCTTTGCCCGCTCTGCTTGGAGCACACGCTGCTCGCTGCAGAGCAGGGAGTCAAACAACAGGCTGAGGGGCAGCGCGAGCAGACACTCAGCTGGGACCCCTTGGAAGCTGGATGTTGAGAAGATGACTCATAAAATGGAGAATCTTTGGCTGACACTAAGGCTGTTGGTGGGGCAGGAGTGAGGCCTGCTAGAGCTCAGGTAGAAATGCAGCAGGGCTGTGTGCCTGCACGGCCTCCTCCAGGACAAGATGCTTCTTATTTCCCTTCTGGTTGGCAGGGCCCCTTTAGCAAGTGCTGTCACAGACCAACAGATCAAAGCTGCATCATTGCAGCCCTGGAAAGCGGGAAAGATTCAACAGGTGCCTCTGACCCTAAAAAACCATCTGAGCTTTCCCCTTCCTCTCCCACTTGACTTGACGGCCAAACAGGCCAGTGGAATCCACGTGCAGGTGGGGCCTGCTGTGGTCGGGAGGGGTGTGAGCTGGAAGGGTAGGTTTGGCTTTGGCCCCTGCTGGTGTTGTGACGTACGAGTCTATCTAGGACAAGACTTTCCTCAACCTATTAAACACCTGAAGTTGTTCTGCAGTCATGTTGACTACCTGACCAGAATCACTTGGTTCCAAGGGCAGACACATTTTTGCCAGTCCATATTTCCCTCTGGAACAAAAGACTTATCAAAATTGCTCATTCTAGAGTCTCAGGTTAAAATCCCCATGAACAACAATACTTTATTGGAGACATTGAGCCAATTCTAGACAAAGAGTGACTTCCTGCAATATGTGTGGTGGTCACTGTTGCCAGAGATTTGCAGCCACTGATAGCATATTGTAATTTTATTCCATATCTGCCTATCTTAGAGAAAGGAAATATGCTGTGTCGACCCAAGAGTCTTATTCTGATTCATGTAGGTTTTGAGGAGCAGGCTGGTTATTCACTTACGGAAAAAGGAGCTGCTTCATACACACAGTCTCACCTACTTGCGGAAAAGCTGGAGCTGCTGCTGATGGCACCAGCAGTGCTGAAGCATCTAGCTCGCCTTTCCCAGGTCTCCAGAACAGCTCCAGACCTCAGCTCTCCTTCCTGGAGAGAGAGAGTTCTCAGTGACAGCTCATTTCTGCATCCCTTCCCAATTTCCCACCAGCCAAGTGTCTTTGTTTAACAGAGCCCAGCTCTGGATCCAGTAAGCCTGGTGCTAGTAGGGAATAGTTTTACTTTTGTTTCCTGCAATTCTTGAAAGCTGAGCCAGTAATAACAAAGTGACTGTCCAGGGGTTGCTGCAATTGCCACCAGCAGGATACAACAAAGGCAGAGGAGAGAATGGATCAGCGTAGGAAGGGGCTGCCATGGGTCTGTGTAGGGGCTGTGTGTAGGACTGCTTCTCCCAAGGTTGCTGGCAGCACCACAATACTGCATAACACATCTCACACATCTCAGCTGTCAGGAGTTTGTTGGTTATATGGGTTTGCATATTCCACTGCAATCCACGTTCCTTTAGTACCAAGTCTGTCTTTTGCAAGCTGCTTGGCGTTAAATATTTGTTGGCCAAACTCCCATTAGAAGAGCCTTACGGGAAAGGAACTTCCCTATCAGCCTCTGCTCTGAAGCCTGTATCGACAGGGGATAGAGGAGAGGACCCCAGCCCTTTGGAGGGAGGAAGGTTGGCTGCAAAGGCTCCTTTCTTTCTACTGACGATCAGCTCTGTCCTTTCAAGTCTGGCATGAAGTTGTGAGATGTGTGTGCACATGAGAGTGCTTCAGCCCTCACGTTGCTCCACAGCAGTCACTGGAGCCTGGCACTATTCTGGGAAACTGCAGAGTCTTCCCCTTGGTAGACTAGGAAGAAGCTTTTTAAGGTTTTCTTTATTTCTTTTCTGTTTTTTTTTCAAGGAAAATTACTTGAGGCAGTTGTTGCAATGTGAGTCTGTCAACTCTGTAAAATGAATTCCATCCTCCTGTACTGGTCCTGACCCATCCTTGTCTCCACTGAAGCTCTAGGAATGGTGAGACTGGGACGTGCTGGATGCTGAACTATTGGGGGTGTTTTTAAAGGGAAATATAAGGAGCGCTCTCAGCAGATGTGCTAGGCGCTGAACAAGAGTGCAGAAATGTGGCGGTCTTGCCTTATTAGCAATACTTACTGGGAGATTATGAATAAAGGGACCATGGGACGCCCATTCGTGTTCGTGGGAGCTCTGCTCATGGACCAAGCACTATGGAGTATTAGCTCAGTTTGACAAAAAGTGTTTTCAGCAACATTGTTCACATGAGTCTCTTTCAAAACTGGCATTTGGGGTTGTCATGTTCAGAAATGCCTGCCAGTTGCCTTGGATTTTTTTTTTTTCTTAGAAAGAAATACCTCAAGGAATTGGTAAGAGATCCTAGGACGATCTTCTGCCGTTCCTAAATTCCTCAGCGCTCTCTGTTTCTTTGGCTCACGTGTGTCCACGCCAGTGGGGCACAGCCCGGTTCTTCTCCACAAGGACAAGCAGAAAAGACCAAACACATCAAATGCACTGGAATGTAATAGTGGGTGCGTGTTTGTGTGCCGTGTATATGGGTGTGCACGCGGGGATGTGTGTGTTTGTGTGTGTGTTTTTAAACTGAATGCAGTCTGACACCCCCAGCCCTTTTCTCTTCATGTGCCTCCCCCTCCCCATAGCCACAGAAAGGAGGGTCCCTTCCTGTGAATCCCATGCTGGAAGTTGGTTTCTGGGAAGTGAAACCTAGTGTCTGTGGACTGTTTTTTAAAGCCATGTTTCAGTTCTGTCTTCAGACTCTTTGCTGCCTTTGGGGAATGGAGGGGTGGGAAGGGTAGATTCTTAAACTGTTTTTAAAATCCATTATGAAAATTTTGCATGTATAAAGTTATTCTTAAATCTAAAGGAGTCTCCCTGATTTGTGGACACAGCTCCAGGAGAGCATCGTCGCACATTCCTCAGCTCCATTTTAGATCCAGTTTAGGCTCTTTTGGAAGGAAAATTTGATGAAAAAGGGAGAGAGACTGGTGTGATGTAAAGACATAGTCACTGTCTTAAATAAATAGCACAAGTTAAACTTCTAGCAGGGAACTTTCAAAGCAGCCCAAGGGATTTGTGTGCCTGTTTCCACAGGGTACAGTTGAAAATACTGACACTAAATTGGATATTGGGTATCTAGAGTGTTTCTTTAGTAAAATTAATCATGTACCTTCTCCTCTCTTCTGTGGTATCAAGGATGTAGTACAGTTTCCCATGTTTCTAGGTAAAAAATACTGGTGGGAATACTGTAAAATGTGTGGAATCACATTTTCTGCCTCACCTTCCCGTGTGACTTTTCTACTTTGCCGAGATAACTTTTTCTTTGGAGTCCTCCATTTGGAAAAGCAAAGGGGTGAAGAGAGGTAGAATTTGCGTAATGAACTTTCCATACCCTCCGTGAAGTTTTCCCACAGTAAGTATCCTGCCCGCTCCTGCTGCAGAAGTGAACCCGATGCTCTCCTGCGAGATCCCTGTCCGGATTAGTCCTGAAGTGCACACATCCTTCTTTGCCATGGACTGAGACCCAGTGAGAATGTAGCATTTTGTTTATCCTGGGTGTGTGCCTCCGGGGCTCCTGCCTGTACCAGTGGTGACGGGGCAGTGCTCCTCTTTTGTATCTGTACAGTATATTTGCTTTGTGCTTTCTTTCTTTGGTGCTTTTTAATACTTTAATACTTGGATTTTTTTCTAATAACTGGTACAATTTTTAATAAAATTGTTAAATTCTTTGTGTGTGTTAGTTTTATTTTTTAACCACAGCTAGTTCTAGAGTTCATCCCAATCAGCAACACAACCTTAGTTGTTCAACTTGGAAAACATGTGGTAAATCCTTGAGTACCTACCCTAAATCCAAACCCTGCCACAAAGAAAAGACTTTCCTTCCAGACTGGACTGCTGTCCTTGGGCATAGTTCATTTGAGTGATGAAATACTCTTTCAAGGAGAACATTCCTACCCTTGGATAAAGGACTGCTGCTAGGTGGAACTGTACAGCTGGCATCCTGCTTCAAATCAGAGAGCTGAACCCTTTTTATCCTCCACATTTGTGAAGTGTAACCTTTGAGTGATGCCAGCTTGTGCCTGGGCATGTACAGAGTGCTCAGGCCTTTGTGATAAAGACAGTGATATTGGGTGATCTTGGTGACCGAGAATATAACAGTCCTTGCTGGGCTTGTGCCTTAAAGGCAGTGCTGGGTGTTGTGAAGTGGTAGTGACTCCCTCATGTGCAAAACTAAGCATGTCTTGACCATCTTAAGTGATAGGAATATGCATGATTTTTAGGTGGTCCTGCAGTTTTGCTGTCCTAGTTAGTACAAGGGAAAAGAAAAAAAATATATATCACCATTAATTAATAGTAATTAAGCCAGGTAGGAATGAAGCAGGAATGGAGATGTGAGCAGGAATGGAGATCAGAAAATATTTATAATATAGTTGGTCACACTCCCCCCAGCGAGCACTGCTCATGTGATGCTGTTGATACAATATTCACGTGGAGTCTGTAGGAAACCCAGTTAACAATCCCGCTCGATGTTAACTTGCCTCTGCTGGTGCATGCGTGTTACAAAAGGGCCTTTCATTCCAAAAACACATGATGTGTGTGGTATGAAAAGCCACATGTGCATCTAAGACCACAGGGGGAAAAAGACAGTTTTTCTTTTCATTGTATTAGGTCTACTGGAAAGTGTGTCCCCTGGCCAGTATCATGAGACCATGAAAGAGCCTGTTGTAACATACTGATACAAGGGGACAGAAGTGAGATTCACTTAGATGGGTGGGAGAGCTGGCCTTTAATTCCCTGATCTTCCTATGGTTAATTAATCCCTCACTCAAAAGCTGTAGCAATTCTTGTATCAAAGAAAAGAAAGGCTTTTAAAAATTAACTGTCCGTACAGCTACCCCAGGAGTATGTGCCAAAGTAGAAGGAGACACTGCACCTTGCTCAAAACCAAGGCAAGTGTACAGTTAGTTATATGGACTGCTTTTCTTCTCCTGACATGTCTTAGGAAATTAGACTGGGATCTCTGATCTGACCTTTCACAACCTGTTGTTGTATAAAATACCCAGGAGGGTGTGCGGAAACACCACCAGGTTTAGGCATCGGGACAAAAGATTACAGCTGAAACATTCCAGTTATATGAGACATTAAATACATATAATTATTTTGATTTGAAAGAAATTGGATGTCTTAAAGACTGAACTGCAGAGAAGAAGTTTCCTTCTTGAAATCGTGTGCCCTCGCCAGCCTGCTCACCACCATGGGATGCTGAGTCTGTGTCCAGCTATGGTGCCTTTCATGGCAATTGGAAGGAGCATTCACAGTGTGTCCCCACCTCACATAATAACATGGCCAGCACTTTAACAGAAAATGGTGACTCTAGCAGCCTGCTAGAGCAGCAAGGTAAAAAGTTTAAGTAGGATTATTGCTTCAAGGGGAAAATGT